TCTATATTGGCGGTACGTCGATGACACATTTATCATTGTAGATCAGAACATCAGAAAAGAAAAACTCCTAGAATAATTCAACAGTGTACACCTAGCAGTCACTTTCACTGATGAAGAGAAGTATGATAAAAAGCTGACTTTCCTTGACATCACACTAAGCAGGCAAAGTGGTGACTCGGTAAGTAGAAGCTGTCGGGATAGCCATTGTCATTGTACAGTGGTTTGGCGTTACTCAAGTAGAGAATATGGGGATGGGATTTTGGAGATCAGCTCACACCGTTTTTCGAAGTGAGGCTGCCTCATTTTATTGAACTTTTGCTCAACTTTGAGGATTTCTTCGCTGGCTTGCTCATTGAGGTTGTCAATGGCATTTTGAACTTCCTCTATCTCATCGATGAGAGCATTGGTCGAACTTAGTTTTCCGTCTGCTTCAGTATCATTACTGGGACGAGGTACTTTAGGTTGGGTTGCCATTGCAGATGGACTTGATGGATAACCACTGAACAGGATGCATACACGAAATGGCCAGAAACATACAGCATGCCGAACTGTACAGCCTCGGAAACTATTCAGAAGCTTTCTAACTTATTGTGTTGTTTCGAAGTGACAGAAACCTTGGCAAATGATAATGGATCACAATTTGTTGCGGACTCATTCAGGCGATTCTGTAGTTCCATCGGCATAACACATCTACGGTTCCTATCACACCATCCCCAATCCAATAAACAAGCGGAACGCTTCTTTGACACATTCAAAAGAGCTTTACTGAAAAAGGGGGAGACGAGAAGAGAACTAGCCAAGTAATCACTAGATTTTGAACGACTTACAGAAGCACTCCGAACCAGACGGTCCCAGATTGGAAGTCTCCAGCTGAAGCAGTGTTTGGAAGAAGTATTCGGACTAAAATAATTCGCAGCTGACTATCAACGTTGGTGATAAAGTGTGTACCTTCAAAATCATATCCTGGGGAGAAATCAATGGGCAACCAGGAAACACGTCGTAAAAAGAACTAGGAAGAGTTATATGTAATGGACATAACAGGAAGCTTGTCGGAAGTCCTGTGGTTAGCACAAACGACACGGCAACTGCGACAATCGACAAAAGAATGGTAACTCGTCGGGTGATATGTACCCGCGTAAATCTACCGTCTGGAGTTTGATCACATGAACCGAACAAACCACATATTTGTCCCGGAATTAACCGAAAGAAAAAGGGAAGGTCGGAGGACAGGTACAATCGCAAAAACTAGAAAATCAGAATGGAAATGCCGCCAGCAACCAAGTCCGTAAGACTACAAGTGGACCCACGAATAGCCAGGGATAGCCAATTGAGAAGACAGCCACGCACATTGTGGATTGATGAACTTATCGATTAAATGGTTAAATATTTCAAGAGCAGTCGATTGATGAACTATTTGAATGATGTTAATGATGAAATCTATTTGATTAATGTTCAAAATATTTTAACGACAATATTGATTATATGTATAACTCGTATAAATACTGCATGTTTTATTTGTCTATTATTTGATTCTGTTAATAAGAGTTCCCCCAAACCGTCATTCCGTCTTCTTATTTTTTTGAACGGTGAGAGTCTAACTTTCGGTGTTGTCATTGTACCAGTGCGTGTTGTGGCGTTACTCAAGTGAGAGAACATAAAGAAACGTATACAGAAAAAAGTCCCCGCTGCTTGCCATAATACCTTCACTTTTATAGTTTTACACCTATTCGGTACAAGAGAAATTTGATTAGATGTCTCACTAGCAGGGGAAAAAAATGATCTGTTCAGTGGATACTTTAAGTCCCGGAGCTTGAAACTAATCAACCAGCTCTGACCGAGGGCCGGCTACTCCAGTGCGCGTTTCATAAAGAAGTATATGTGTTAATTTAAAAAAAAGTCGGAGACTTCGACGTTCGAATGAATCCTGTTGTGGCTAGCGATACTCTGCAGGAAAGATTAATTAGTAGAACATTCTACGTAAATCCTAAAATTTGGCGTCGACCTTCTCAAGTCGGACCAGGTGATTGTCTACCCAAACGAAGATATAAGAAATTACCTGAGTTGGCCTCCTCTATGGTGCATGTACAAATTCAGCTGGCTGCCGTGGAGATAGCTATATTCGGAAAAAAACCGTAACTACCAGACAACCTTAACCAACGAATGAGTGAACACCTCTCAGCCTAGTTTAGAAAGAGGCCAGTTTAAAAACAATACGCATTCTATCTTGGAACATCTGGTTGATAATGAACAAATGATAGATAAATCTTGATCGTTCGAGTGATCTACCGAATACCTACATCATTTTACTAACGGAGTTCGATCCCATCGCCTGTATATAACAGAAGCCGTAGGGATTCGTACATTCAACCCCAATTTATGTGTTCAGCAGAAATTCCTGACACCCTTATCCCTTCCGTGGCCGGATATGACTAAACCAACGTATAAAAAAATTTCTGCAGTTTTATTTTATTTTGTTATTAATAGCATTATTTTCACACCCTGTATTTATTTGTTGGTAATTTTCTGCCTCTTTCCGTTTATATTCTTCACTATCTAATTATGTACACACTTCTTATTACGTAATAGTTTGAATGTTTTGTAATGATTAATTTAAGTCTATTTGACCTACTATTGATAAAACTTATCGTATTTTATTTTTCTTACTGCTGTCAGTACACCTATCTTCCTACTATCAACTTGTACTTTTGCCTGTTAGGCATAGTGACGTAATCTATTTCATTTCATTGTGATTACTGACTCATAAATTGCTTTGATTGGTTTAACATTTCCATATGAATATTCATAAATATTAGAGTAAAGCCTGATGACGGTCTAATCGAAAACAATGTAGTTCGCTGATATAAGTTGTTCTAATTTTCACAATGGATGAAATGGATGAATGAACTAAACGCTTGCTATGGAAAATATGTATGTTAACTTCGTTCATATTTATTGACCTTACTTTTTCTCGGTTTCTTTTATTTCTTGTGTATTGTTATACTACTTATTATTATTCAGTAACCAGTCTCATTTCTAATAATTTCTGAGTGTGTAGTCAGCGCCAGACATTTATTTATACTGTATGATATGCTGAAGTATTTAAGACTAATAGCTTCTATAGTTTGTATGATCATTATTACGTTCTTCCAACGGTTATTCCATGTTCTACACGTTCTTCGATTTCTTGTTTGAACACAACAAACTTCACATCTGTTTGCTCTTAGTTCCTGTTTGTTTGTTAACATAAGACAGTTATCGGCTGTCATTTACAGTATCGTGTGTTGTAATTATTCCTTTTTCCTCACAGGTAACCATCCTTTGTTGAATCCCAAAACTTCAGGAGAAGTTCGTATAGCGTTTGACCGTGGTACTAAATTACTAGATGGGTCTTCGATGGTATAAATAGTGAACTAGATCTTTCAAATTAGTTAGCGGGAGCTTTACTGAGGTTCAGAAAACATGAGGTTACATTGTCAGTAGATATTAGAGAGATTTTCCTTCAAGTTCACGTGATTGAAGAAAGACATAAAGGAAGTCTGCATTTTGTGGTACCCAGATTTTTAGCTCCACTATCAATCACACCTAACCGGATTCGGTAACAGTTTTGTTGAAGAAACTACAGTTATGATGAAACGATTGACGAAGACTTACGGTTGAGTCGAGAGGCTTAGCTGGAAGGCATTACGGCTGTTGAAGCATTAAGAATTCCACGGGGTTTAAACACGGACCTGTACGGCAAAGCATATACATCTTTACATCAGTTTTCAGGTTCTTCAGAAATCACTCATTGAGCTATGGCCTATTTGAGATCTGATTATTACATAGGTACGACGAGATGTAGTTTCAATCTGAAAATTGTTATTTCACTCCCTGAATTATAAGCTGCTATACTTCCAGTGGAACCAATGAGAAAAGGCAGTGTCAATAGACACCAATGCTTACGGGCAACTAGCCAGCAGTCTACATAGCCCAGATAGCCCGTAGCTCTTTAGTCGATTTTAGAAACCCCTGAAAACTCATGTAACAATGTAAATCCGTGTTTAAACACCGTAGAATCCTTAGTGCTCTAATAACTGGGATAGTTTGAGCATATGTTAAGTATCCCTAACTGTTACCAGTCTTGAAACAATGATAGCTAAGCTTAGAGTAAACAAAAAGAAATCTAAGGCGACCAAACGAACATATAGCACCGATCCATGACAGTCAGTAACAGCTGGCCTGAGTCACAGGGATAGAGGAACATTCTTTGGCTGGAGTCTGATCAACTGCCGACATCATTGGTTAGAGACGGTGGGTGAAATAACTTAGAATTGATTACACTGGTAGAGATGTATTTACTCTCTATCTTCTTCTCCAGTCTTCAGTTTTAGTATTCCTTAAAATATAACTTTCCATGTTATCTTATTGAATTGTATTCTCAACAATCAGTTTTTCTCACTGACGGATAACAGCATCATTGTTGGTAAACCTCTCAATTTTGTAACTTATTTTTG